GGTACATTGCTTACAATCAGCAGATATCCTAAGTTACCTCAGTTTTGAGGATAGGCGAAATATGAAAAACGTAAGGTTTGCAATGGACATCACCAACATATTCTTTGTAAGTTTACTCCAAGCATTAGACCCTGAATTATAGAAATTTCAACTCAAGTGCAAAATCCATAACTCCTGCTCTTTCGAATCATCGTCTTACCTGGACACTGGATATCCCAGTAAAACAAGGAGAGCTTGCTCCAATAAGCTAAGGAAAAACACTTCTGGGCATCTTATTTATGGGCTTCGCAATGCAGAGCATTCAACAGTTCTCTTAAGACCTGTTTTCTGATGCCTCAGTTTACGCAGCTCAAGCAGCGACAAGAAAAATTTTGTTTGAAATTGCGGAACTTTCGAATGAGACAATACTATATATACATGGTTTATTTTAAAGTTATACAAATTAGGAAAAAACAAACGTTTATTGTTGTAACATCATTAATATTATTTTAACATAAACAACCAATATGTTCTCTGTGGAAAGTTAACAAAACAGATAACACTGGGAGATTCCGTCCGTCTCGCTTACCCTACACATGTAGAATTTCTGTCTCTATTGTATTACTAATGATTGCGTACAAATAACATTTGTTGCCAATTCTTAAAGCATCAGTGCGAAATGAGATCTATAGATTAATGTTGGCAAGCATTTAGCTTGGTCACATTATGTTATTTTATGTGGTAAAGGATTTCAAGTGAATTTCGTGGTTTCTAACAAATTACTGCTTCTAATAAGAAGATGGGAGGATCGGATGAGTAGTTCGAGATTGCGTAATTTGTTTTTGAGATTGTGAACTAAGCAATGGCAGCGTAGTGTGTTGTTGACAGACCATCGATAAGGCACGATCAAACTGAACTACCTGAATTTGATCAAAAACTATAGGTCTTAAAAGCGTAGTCGTTTTACAGCCAATGAAAATAAAGAGGGAAAATACCATATCATGCGACACAGTGTGAGTATCGTTAGACGTGGTCCCCATGCTGTTGAGCATATTTCTTGACAATCTTCTCTTCTCTTAATTTTACTACTTGCATGAAGTTATTGACCTGAAAATTTAGTAATTTTTTAAGAATGTTTTGTCAAGTTTATTCTAACGCTCATTCTTAGCGCTTTAACACTATTTTGACCAGATGTTGTATAATGAAAGCTCCTTTCTTTTCCTACAAAACTTCCATGTCATATCTCCATCTTAATCAAATTTTTTTTATAAACTTTTAGAGCTCATTTAGCATTCCAGTACCTTTGCATCATTGATTTGCTGTAAGCTCACGATGAAACGTCAATAATCGAAAAAGATGGCCTTCATCATTAATATCGCTAGTCATTATATAGTTTTCTATACGAGATGGGCCATTTCGCGCTTTTCATCTGCCAAGAATTCTTAATGTGTTTTTACAGAGGGG